TATTCGCAACACGATCCATCTGCCCTGAAGATGGAGGCGATACGTTCCTCCGAAACGTCGATAAAAACCACGAATACACGGCGTCATATCCCAGAAGACGACTTTCTTCATAGTCATCGCCGTGAAAACCTCAAAACTTACAAATATATGATAGTCTGACACTCACCTTTTTACGTGAAAAAGAAATATTACACAATCCAACACTGACTTCCAAACTGATAGTTCACCACTGAAAACGATTCCTTGAATACTTCACACTTTCTTGAAAGTTCTTGAAGCACTGATCTGCAAGCACTGACGAATATTTCCCCTTCAGTTCTCAGAACAAAGCTGGGCTATATTTGGCTGACCAGGTCACGAACACTCATATATAAACGTAAATATTATCGAAGCCAGTACCGTGATAAACGATTTCTATGTTCAGAGCTAAGGAATGAACCTCTGACATGACCCTGCGTGGGTTTGTTTTGGTTTCAAACCCAACATAAAACCGTCAGCACTGACAAAGAGTGCACATGCCATGTGTCATAAATCAGTGACATTAGGCCAACTCGGGTTGCTGCCACTGTCATTCATTTGTGACATTAGGACGGTAAAGGTTAATAAAGGACATGCTCATCCAGGTTATATTTGGTTAGTTTAAACAGCTAGGAGTGCACAAAAATTTTCATGTTCCCCAATTACAAACAAAAGCAAGCAATATTCAGCTTAGGTTAGCAGATTTTGACTGCAGGCTTCAAGCTCGAATAATTAAATCTAGAAGTAGCGTCAGTCCTGGAAATGCTCCCCATAAAAGTTATGACATCTGCTAATGTCGAGGTTTGCAATTTCAAAAGGAACACCAACCATGTACCTTGTTCTTCTAGTTTTCTGCTGAAGCTCTCTGACTTGTAATAAAATGCAAAAATTGAATTAAGTCTCACTGAAGTCAGTCCGACTAACTCAAACTAATTTGAAGATTGGTACACTAATTAGAGTTATTTAAAAAATCCAATTAATATAATTTGCATTAAGTTAAAGATACCAAAAGTAGGCACCAAAATTTATTTGTTACATACAGCCGAGATAGAGCAGTTGGTATAGCAACTGGTTATGGGCTGGATGGTTGAGGGGTCAGAGTTTGAATCTTGGTAGTGGTACAGTTTTTCTCTCTACATTCAGACTGGTTCTGGGGCCCACCCAGCCTCCTGTTAAATGGGCACTGTGAGCTCCTTCCCCAGGGGTAAAATGGCCAGGGCATGAAGCTGACCACACAGCTCCACCTAGTACCTAAGTTAAGAATTCTTGGACCTATATATCCACTCCTCCATGCATCTTCATGGCACGTTGTATGTTTATTTGTTGCCATGGTCACACATTTAAATGTTATAGCCTAGCAATGGCTGCCTTTATTTGTTCCAATATTCCAGCTTTCAGCCGTCATATCACAGTATCTTAGTGAACATTTTACTAACCAGTTGACTGTCTTGTGGACCATCCTTTAGCACTAGCACATAGATATAAGGCCGTATGCAATTTTGAGCTTGGAACTAGGTGGGAGCGAGAGATCAGTTTTGCTTCAGTCATGTTTAACCCTGGGAAAGAGCCCTCCTTGTGTAAGGGAAAGGAGATTGGGTGGGCCCATCAGTCATTCCTGGTGTGGCACTGAAGAGAGAACTTTGATACATAATATATCCCTGGCAGTTATCGGAGATTGGCACTACTTATGTAGCCATTAATTTTCATTATGGAATTATCACATCTCTCATTTATGTGCTTAGTAAACTAGGATTCTTATAATGCCCATTCACTTTCTGCATCATAAAATAGAATTATCACCTGTGGCTTATATTGTTTTACAGGTATGGAACCTGTGGAGTTTCATTCTGTTGTTCGTGTGGGCTCAGGCTACTCAATGTATGAGTTGTCAGAATTACTTCAAAAACTTTCACCTCACTGGCAGCGTGTTTTGCCAGGACAGTGTCCACCTTGTCTTGCATGGACCAAGGAAAAGCCAGATGTATGGATTGCTCCACAAAATTCTTACATACTGGAGGTAAATTTCATTTGACCTTCTGGTTGTGTTATGTGAGGTTTTATTTTATGTGACATGTAGAAATACTTTGTCAAAAGTGTCTGAGATGATTTGGTTTTGGATAATTGAGGTTTCTGTACATCGGCCTACTGGATGCATACATAAATATAGTATGTATTTATTTATTTTCAATTATAATACACTAAACTCCTGGTTATCTGCTATCCAGGTGTTTATATCCAACCAACATAAATACTGAGGAAAATTTACCAATTTTTAAGGTTATTCAAAAACAAATATGCAATTTGCATATGTTCATTGCCAATGCAGTAGTTCTTCCAACTGCTACTAGTAGCACTACTGTGCCTCATGCTGGTGCCATTTCAGTATACGCTACTTGAATTTGTGATCGTTTTACAGAAAATGTTTCTGAAATCTTTCACGCTTAAATCAGCTGTGTTGCCTAGGGCAACTCTCAGGCCAAAACTAAAGTGAAAATATGTTGTTTTGATTATGTTTTGGATTTGTATAAGAGATTTTCTCGTGCAACATTAGATTCATGTAGCGAGCAAACCCCATTCCCCCATACATGCTGTATAATATAGAGTTAACTGTGTTAGCCTGTGGAAAGTGTGTTCCAGACCCACCACTTCACAAAAAATCTGGTAGCGCCGGGAATCGAACCCAGGACCTCTGGATCTANTATTGAAAATATGTTGTTTTGATTATGTTTTGGATTTGTATAAGAGATTTTCTCGTGCAACATTAGATTCATGTAGCGAGCAAACCCCATTCCCCCATACATGCTGTATAATATAGAGTTAACTGTGTTAGCCTGTGGAAAGTGTGTTCCAGACCCACCACTTCACAAAAAATCTGGTAGCGCCGGGAATCGAACCCAGGACCTCTGGATCTATAGCCAGGAATTCTGACAACTAGACCACAGAAGCTGTCTAATATTTGGTATAATATTTTGAAAGCTTGATGAGAATAAAAATGAAGTACTCATAGAAAATCTCAACATGCAGAGTGCCTTTAATCACTCATTTGCATGGTACCAGGAAACTGAATGGGGTATATTCTGACTGAATGGATATGCAGTATTGTCTTTAAGTCATTACAAATGGTTCAGTTTACTAAGATCAGTTCAGTGTGGTATGTAGCTTATGCCAGTAGTTGTGATGATCTAATTTTGATCTTTTACAGGTGAAAGCAACAGAGATTGTACCAAGCAAATCATTCAAAGTTAACTTTACACTTCGATTTCCTCGAGTGGAGACTATTCGCTATGACAAAAAGTGGTCTGATTGCATGACTCTTACAGAGTTTGACAGCTTAAGGAAGGTAATGAAGAAATAGATAAGATTTTTCATGTAGATGGCAGTTATGGCAGGCACTGCCTTATTGTCTGCTGTAGTTCAGAATTTGGTAAAATACGTATCTGCCTTCAACCTCAGAATTTTTCTTTTGTCCTTGTACTTAGTGTAATCTCACTCTGTGCTGATTTATGATAGAGCCTCCAGAGTAAAAAGTAAAAAAGTAAAGCTATCCCTGTAACAGGCCGTGAAGGCCCATAGGGTTGTGAGACTTTGAGGGTCCCACATTATCTAGACAGTCGGATCAAAGATGGCGGTAAGGTTGTCAGCCTTACACGCCGGCCGTGCTTTACTCCCCAGGAAAATTATTTAATTAATTCCTGGCACTAATGTCTCTCAGAGGCTGAGTGAACCCCAGGGCCATAGTGCGGCGGGAAGGATTAGGTCAATTGAAAAATGTCCAATGACCTCATTAGGACTTGAACCCGTGACCTTCTGGCTTGTAGCATAACCCCTCAACCAACTACACTACCGCGTGCCCCCAGAGAGCCTCAAGAGTACTAATTTTAGTCTAATTGTTGTTACTGTATGAGATTTGACATTCTTATTGCAGTGACAACAAGGAACACTCTCCTGGGGTGTTACGCCATGTAATCTGGCAGATATCAATGAACATTTTGGAAGAGCGTACTGCCTCCATCTGGGGGGGTTAAAGAGTAAGCCAGCAAGCAGCAAGTAGTATGTTCTTCTGTGAGACTACACAGCATCACATCCCAGAAGATAATATTCTGTTATTACTGTAATTTGAACTTAAATAAAAACTAGATAGTAGTTATTTATATAATGTGAGACACAGAGAGACTTGTGTAATCAAAACAGAGAAGCCAAAATGGACCTCTTTGTGATCACTGTACTTACCCTTCTCAGTTATTAGGCTTGTTTCGCTGTAATAATTTGGCAAAACAGCATCATTCCAAAATTTCTGATTGTTGGATTCCTTCCTCCCCATACCCTAGATGAGGCATCCTTAATTTCAGATTGAAACTTTGGAATGAACAGTATGACCTGTACACGTGTAAGTACTGTAATTTAATTGTCACTGTCATATCATCACCCACCCTCCCTCTAATGAGGCAGTAGTCTGAGACAACCATATGAAATAGGCCCAAAAGTGTGCACAAACTTGACTAGCTTGTCTTGGACTGTTATTGATATTGTAACATGTTTCGTTACTGAAGACGCCGTTTGGATTGTTAATTGGTTTATTTAACAATCTACAAGTATCGGCTACAATTAATGATAACAATGTTGCGGGTTTCCACACTTTACAAACCCTACAACCAAAGTCTTCACGTACTAATAACGCGGGAGCTATACAAATCTCCCTGTATTACACACTCCAAATATAACTGTACTACAGCACTCACTAAGTCGAAAGCACACAATAAGTCTTCCGCTCACTGACTTCTTAGTTATCGCACACTGTCACATAAAATCTTGTAACCACGCATTCGGGTCTTCTTATCGCGACTGCTGCTATATGTCAACTCGACTCGCAGTCTGCTACCTTGAGAACTGTTGATCACACACTCGCTCGTAGGCTTGCTCGGAACTAAACTCGGCGACTGCTACATTACAACTGGCTTCGCAGGCAGCGCAGCTCTCTTATATAGGGGCTGTGTGGGCCTGTTACGTCACCATGTTTGTGTATAGCCTAGCAACCCTGTTACCTCGCGCCGTCTTACATCACCGCGGAGGGGGGGGGGAGGAGTGGTGTCCTGCGTAGCGCGACAAGTAGTAACGAGAGCGCTACGTTACCGCCACATGCTGCTGGGGACGTAGGGGTCCTCCGTTGCACAACATGTCACAATATCATTAATACTCTTCCTCCAGTTCTCTAAGCATAAGTACGTGCTGATTTTGATGCTTACAGGAAGCATCTGGAAAGCTGTACTCTAGACACGTGGATGCCAGTAATGAATTGCCCGAATCACCAAGAAAGAAGCAGCGGCATTTGACTCGAGTACCTATTAAATTGGGTGAACAGTTTCGTGGTATTGATATATCTGGAATCGATGTGGTAACAGACTTGTTAGAAGGGAAGGAGTTTTGTGTGCTAACAGATTGGAAAGAACATACAAAGCAAGATATAGAAACCAAAATTGTTCAGAATGGAGGCACAGTTGTACAAAACACAGGTATTCTCATGACTTATTGAAGTCTTTTGATTGGAAAAGTAATGTTCTTTGCTAGAGGTAACTGATAAATGAATCTTTGTTCAGGGCACAATACATTTTGTGCTGTGGCTGGAAATACCACACTCCGCGTGCACAACATTGCTAAGAGTGGACGGTATAGTGTTGTCCATGTAGACTGGCTGCTGCGTTCCATAGCTGCTGGTGAACTGTTGCCCTGGACACCTGCTGATTTGTTATATGCAACATCAACTGTAAGCGAGCAGCTATCAGCAAAGTATGATATGTTTGGGGACAGCTACACACAACCGCTGAATAAAGATACATTGAAATATGTGTTTGAACAAGTTGAGAAAATGGTAATTGATGTTCTGATTTCACTGTAACATGTAGATTAGTTCATGCAGGTTAGAACCACTGTTCTCAAATTTTTCTTTTTGCAAAGTATATGCGACTTCTAGAAATACTGATGAAAGCGTAATCCAAATTGTACAAACCTCATATAGCACTGACATTAGACACAACAGATCATGAGGAATACACAGAATAAAATAAGCAGGAAGTTGTAATTGAAGAATGTTTCTTAAAGGAATGTGGAATTAATCAGAATAATTTGTATGTTTTTGTTGCTTGTTGCCTGTTGGCCCTTTTGTTTCTTTGTTTATCAGCATCTTTTCCCTCCACTCCCAAACTGAACTTCAGTCCCAGCTCTGTTACAACTTGGACTGCTTATAAAGTACAAATACAGTAAAAAATAATGTTGTTTTATCATATCCCTTGAATTTCCCAGTATCTTCCTGTACAATAAAATTATAATACAATAAAATTATAATGCTGCTGATTGTGATTATGAGTATGCTCACACTGGTTGCAGATAGTAAAATTCTGCTCGTAGATGCATCTACATCACTCTATTTTCAGTTGTCATTTTCATGAGAAGTTCTTGTTTAGAAGAGCTTCTTGAATCCTGTATTTTATATGCTTTCACTATTAGAGTTATATATGAGTTGTGAGTACACAAAGTGGAGCCCTCGGTAACAACATAGAAATTACCGTCAATAGTTTTCTGTAAGAAAAATAGTGATTGTATACTGTGTTTTCTGTAAATGTGCTCAGAGACATATTGTCATATTTACAGTTAATAATTCTAGTATTACGAATACCACTGTTTCAGGTTCTGAAAATTACAGAATTTTCTGAGTTTTAAAATTTAAGGTCTCTGTTTGTTGTGATTAACCGTTCAGCGTGGTTTGACGTGTATGTTTCGTCGGGTATTTAAATCGTCTGCGGGGGTTCGACGTCTATGTTTCGTCCAGCTGCACACCTATATTGTAACGCCCATAATAATTGATGGTTTTGCTGTAGTTTGTTAGATATTTCGCTGGCCTGTTGTCAGGAGAACCGTATATAATGAGGCATTTGTTTAGCTGTGCTAAGCCATCATTACATATGCCTGTCTTGCAGCAAAATCGTGTTGCTTCTGGTAGTGGTTTCCTCATTCAAACTGTTATGAATGGCGTGTTTTCTTTCCTGTGAAGTTATAAACAGCAGAGACGTGATATGTGCTGTGTTTATAATATCATATTGCCCTGAGCTGGCCACACTAACACAGGCAATTAGAATTCTTAGAAGAGGGATGTCCAAAAATTTATTCTTGCAAAATCGATTGATTTCGCACAGTACATAGCAGCCAATTCTTAGAATAACGTCACGAATTAAGGCAGAACACTGTGGTCACCCCATGTGACGATAAGGGTGTATGTGGGGGGGGAAATAACTCATTCCTTCATGTATTATCGCTCCAGTTGACTCCATTTTATCGTACTGACCTTGGTGGTCGTTTCGAGGGATGACCATAAATATTTTTTTTTAGCCAGCAAAGCTCTGCTTTCGTGCACTACATACCAGCCAGTTCGTAGAATAACTTCATGAATTCTGTGGTCACCCCTACGACATCTTAGAATATGAAACGCAGAAGCACCAACCCCTTGTTATGATAACATAAAGGTTGAATTTACTGCAGCTAATCTGGCAAGCAGTCCGACTCACGGAGAGACATTTCCTCTTGTATTCCCCCCACGGGGAAGAAGGCAAGGCCGCACAGAAGATGTGTGGTTAAAAAAAAAAGGGCCAAAGAAAAGATACACAATATTGGTGTGGTGAATGCTTCAAGGCGTCACCTGCTTCCATAGCCAAGATACCGGGCGCTCATATTATAAGGCAAGGTTATAAAACCATCTTTTAAGATCATTTTAGTGAAAGTTTCATGCTTCAAGGCCTACCCTACACTGCTCGAATTCTAAACCAACTGCTTCCATTGCCGAGATACCGGGCGCTCATATTATAAGGTAAGGTTATAAAACCACCTTTTAAGATAATTTTATTGAAAGTTTCATGTTCCTATCTCATATAATTTAAGAACAATGATGAATAAATCATTTTCGAGCAAAATTTAAATGGACGGCTGAATATATTACCGCCGGAGAGACACGGCAGCGGAATTTAAATGACCGCGCGAAAGGGTTAAGTGAATTTCACTGGATGAACACAGGAAGTCTAATTTTATAAATCTTTTTGTTGTTGTTATAAATCTGATTTATATTGTAGTGTAGAATGAAGATAATAAATGACAATTTGTTACCTATATGTTCTACATTGTAATTTCTGGTAATTCTGATTCCTCCAACAGGACAGTGTTGTCGACCTCACTGAAGAAATGTTAGCAGATCTTGAAATAGAACTGTTTCCTGGGCCCAGTCCTTATGGCTTGTTCCGTTTGTGTCGGGCGTATGTGGACAAATATTACCGGGTAGGTTCAGTAAATGTATGGGAAATACTGTTTTCATCAAAACTCTTTTGACAGACTTCATAACTTTACTTTCGGCTAACTGAGCACTGTTACAGAAAACAATAAAATGAAAATACTTATATATGTATATAAGACTTGTAGTGGGTTTAAAAGTTTAAGTTCTAGAATGGCAATTTTGTCACCTGAAAATTATAACTGAGAATAAGAGAAGAAAGAGTGCGTCCCAAATTTAGGGCCCACAGAAACAAATGAAACAAACAAAATATTTTCATTGCCTGAATGAATTTTTGTAAGCTTTTGAGTCCCTTCTTTTCCTAATTTTTTAATATGGATGTGTTAACACAATGAACAATACTCTTTTCCTTTCAGTTAAATGATCCATTGTCAGGTGAAAGTAATAAATTGGATATTGTTGAAGTTTATTTCAGTTTCTATGGAGGCCAGACATTTTTACAAATAGATGAGCTGACCACTCATGTGATTGTGCATTCTGAGTGAGTATAATAGTAACTATTAACTTGTTTTTTTAACTACAGTTACATTGAAAATATATTTCTAAAAGAAAATGTCATGTATTTCAAAAGGTAAAGCCATCCCTGTAACAGGCTGTGAAGACCTATAGGGTTGTGAGACATCAAGCTTCAGCATTTTGTCTAGACATTCGGCTCACAGATGGTGGTAAGGTTGTCAGCCTTACGTGCCGGCTGCCCTTTACCCCCCAAGAAAAATTCCTGGTACTCATTTCTGTTAGAGGCTGAGTTGGCCCCGGGGCCTTAATGTGGCTGGAAGGATTAGGTAAATTGAAGAAATCCACCTCATCAGAACTTGATCCCGCGACCTTCCAGCTTTTAGCATAATGCCTCAGCCAACTATTCTACCATGTGCCCAGTCACATATTAAAATTTTGAGAAATATATACTAAACCTTATGCATTATCATTGCATTCTTTTGATGTTAATTTCTGACAAAAAGCAAGCACAGTAAAATTCCTATTCATTGTTTATCTGGTCTAGAATCAGCAAAAATGGATTAAACTATTAGTGGAGGAATTTAACCCAGAGATTCATTACTTTGGGTTATTCAGTGCCTCTTCTAGAAGAATCTTCCTACACCTGCAAAGACAGATACATTTATGCTAAGAGAGTGTAAAATTTTTTACTTATGTAGCAGTTATACTTCCTCTGTCTATAAGTATTTGGGTTCTGGATACCAGAGCTCTGTTCACCTGTTACTTCATGCCAACACTACTGCTCATAGCATAGCACTCACTTCCACTTGACTGCTCTGCACTGCAATGAACTTCACACTGCATTGAATAAAAAACTAATTGACTCATTAACTAATTCACCAGCATATCACCTGTTCCTTTTACAAGTATGTTACCCACAGGGAAAGTTCTAGAATGTTCACTTGTGACTCTGGTCTTCCTCATTAGCCAATTACTTCCCAAACATTCCAGGCAGTATAAAAGGTGCACAGGCCAGGTGACATGCTCCCACAATGATACTAAACTTTGCAGCATAACAATATGCATTAAATGGTGCTGCTGATTAGAGGAAATGTTTTCAGCAAAGGTTATCTGTAGAAACAAACCACATAAAAATTCCTAACCTCTCTTATTCCTAAATTTCTTTCAGTCACAACTTGACCAACTGCAATAGTGGTTGAAGTATTTGGACCCTCAAGTACAGAGTAAACACTGACAGCCATTTTTTTAAATTTCAGTAACAGGTATTTTGTTGATACCATCATATACTCTGTTTTCTCTGTGTACACTTTATTATGTTACTTTTTATTAGTATGCTGTTACACATTGATACTTTGATGCTAATGCAACAGATGGGTTGAACGTTCAAAACAACTCCAGTGTGACTGAAGCTTAGGTACTTCCCACTGCCACCTGGTGGTCTGTCTGCAATTGCTAACAACACTTTGTGTTTGACTTCATTCTCAAAAGTCTTTGAAAATAGACTACTTGAACACTTAAATTCTAACAACATATTAGTCAAAGAGCAATTTGGATTTAGGAAAGACCTAACAACAGAAAAAGCAACCTATGAACTAACTAACGATATTTTAAGTGCTCTCAATGACAGATTAATTGTGGGAGGGATTTTCTGTGATCTAGCAAAAGCTTTCGATTGTGTTAATCATGATATCTTACTATCAAAATTAAATTTCTATGGAATAACTGGCAAAGCTAATGAATG